AGATGGAAAATAATTATTTAAGAGACACATATATATACCTGGTCGAGTATGGAAGTGAAGAACATGTAACATGTTATTCCCGTAATTGTGAAGTTGATCTTCTTTAACAGTCATAGCGGAAGTAACGAGGGAAGAATAACAATACTCCAACTTAATTAACTGGAGTGTGATGATATCTGCAATCCACTCTGGCATCTCTTTCAACTCGAAACAATTTCTTAAGTGCAAGTGCTCAAGATTGGGAAAAGGAGAGGCCACGTATGCCTTCCACTCCTTCAAATTTGTGAGAGAAATGAGCAAAACCTTTAACTGAGGGAAACTGCCATCTTCAATTAGTTCCCACTCTTGTCCCACACAGGCAAAGTTTTTGAGCTTAAGCACCTTCAGATTGGGTAGCAAGCTAATAATAGTCATAGCTTCTGATAAGAGATAATATAGTGATTGGTTGTGGTTAGTTTGTTAAGTTTGTTTCGTATTTATTGCTGTGGTTACCTTGAGTTTAGTAGTTTTAGTTTCACCTTTGTAGTATAAATATCTCTTCTGAATAATGTAAATTCATCACTTCTTTACCAATTTACATGGTATCAAGAGCTATTCAATCTAAACTATATTTTTTTTCCCCTTCACCTTAAGTTCTATTTTCCATGGCTGCTAATGATGCAAATACTCAACCTACTGTCTCCCCCACTCCAGTTAATCCGGTACCTAATGTTGAAGGGGCTAATACCATTCCTAATCATCTTGAACCTAGCGAACCACTAATTGTGGTTACATTTCATAACATTCAAAAACTCACTTCCTCCAACTATCTCACATGGAAAATTCAGCTTGAAGCCATTCTTATTGGCTATGATCTTAAACATTTTATTGATGGCAGTAAACTCATCCCAACTGCTACTATCACTGTGCAAGATCGCGTACTTCCAAATCCTGCTTATTCCACTTGGATACGCCAAGATAAGCTCATTTTTGGCGCTATAGCTGGTACTTTGTCCTCAGCTGTCGGGCCTCTCATTTCGAGTGCCCAAACTTCTCACGAGGCATGGAATATCCTAGCAAATACTTATGCTCGCCCCACCCGTGGTCACATAAAGAAACTCAAGGATCAACTCAAGAATATCATCAAAGGCGGCTCCACAATTACCAAGTACATACACCAAATCAAGAGAGTTGTTGATGAACTTGCCCTTTTAGGCAAACCCATGGAACCTGAAGATATCACAGACAAAATTCTTGATGGTCTGGATTCTGATTACCAATCTGTTACTGATGCTGTTAATGGACGTGACTCCATCATCTCGTTTGAAGAGTTGCATGAAAAGTTAATTAACAAAGAACTTGCTCTACACCGTGCAACTCCTCCTACCACGTTTCCAGCTACAGCTCATCCCACTCAAACTCGACCAGTAAGCAATTTTCAGACTCGGCAACCCTCATATCCCCGCTTCACCAACAATTCATCCCGGCCTGCTGCAAAACCCTTTCTTGGTCGCTGCCAGTGGTGTAATGTTCAAGGTCATGTTCTTTTTCATTGTTCTGTCTTTCGTGGACAGTACCCAAATATTCAGTTTCCCCCTCGTCCTACACGCAAACAAGAGGTAAAACCACAGGCTCATGTTGCTGCCACCTCACCAGTTGCACCCTCCTGGTTGCTAGACAGTGGTGCCTCCCATCATGTTACCACGGATCTTTCAAATCTTGCTCTTCACACACCATATGATGGTACATATGAAGTTATGATAGGGAACGGTTCTGGTCTTCCCATCTCACATACTGGTTTTGTTTCTCTCCCTTCTACATCTAAGTCATTTTCCCTTTCTAATGTTTTGTGTGTTCCCACTATGTGTCGAAATGTTATCTCTATTTCACAATTTTGTCGTGATAATAATTCCCTTATTGAGTTCTCACCCACTACCTTTTGTGTTAAGGACATTCAGACGGGGGCACCCCTCCTAACCGGACTATCTAAAAATGGAGTTTATGAGTGGCCGACGTCTCCTAGTGTGTCTACTCATGTCTTCACCACAATGGTTTGTGACAATAATTGGCATCACCGCTTAGGTCATCCCTCCGCTCCCATGCTCGACCAACTATTGGTTCGTTTAGGCATTTCTAATTCTTTTGCTCAGTCACATTGTAATGCATGTCTTAGCAATAAAAATCATAAACTTCCCTTTAAAAACTCCACTCTTACTACATCAGAACCGCTTGAGGTTGTGTTCAGTGATGTTTGGACTTCTCCACTACATTCCTTTGATAATTACAAATACTATATTATTTTTGTAGATCACTATACAAAATATGTATGGTTGTATCCACTCAAGCGGAAGTCTTGACACATATGATGTGTTTGTACGCTTTAAGTTGATTGTTGAGAAATTTTTTAATAAAACAATTCGAACCTTGTACTCTGACAATGGTGGTGAGTACAAAGCCTTGTCATCTTTCTTAACACTAAGTGGCATCTCTCATCTCACCTCTCTGCCACACACTCCTGAGCATAATGGGTATTCGGAGCGTCGACACCGTTACATCGTTGAGACGGGTCTTGCTCTTCTTACCCAAGCCTCCATGCCACTTAGTTACTGGACTCTTGCCTTTTCCACTGCAGTCTACCTCATTAATCGCCTTCCCACACCAACTCTTAACCATCACTCCCCTTACTCTAAACTCTTTGGTAGTGAACCAAAATACTCTAGTCTTCGCAGCTTTGGATGTCTGTGTTATCCATGGCTCAAACCATATACTGTCCACAAGCTTCAGTCTCGTTCATTACCTTGTGTTTTTGTCGGGTACGGGGCATCTCAACATGCTTTTTATTGTTTAGAACCAACTACAAATCGTATATATGTGTCTCGACATGTACGGTTTGTTGAAGCGTGGTTCCCATTTGCACATATTGCTAAAGACCTCTCCCGCCCTTCGTCCTCCAGCGCAGGTGAGTGGTGTTCTATCTCTCTTCCCATCGCCCATTCACCGGCGCAACCACATTACCAAAACATCACACCGCCACCCCTACATAATCTTCCTCCAAATTCCCCTATAACTTCCCCTCTATCACCTATACTCCCCTCACCTCCTACTCAAAATACTCAGTCGTCTCCATCACCATCTCTGCCTGGTTCTACATCTCACTCTTCTCCCTCTAGTTGCTCACAAACGAGTCAAGTTTCATCTCCTGCTACTTCTCCTCCTGACCCACCAGCTTCTGTACCAGTTCCTGCCCCACGTGTCGTTGTCACTCGGTCGAAAAACAACATTTTTAAACCCATTCGAAAACTCAATTTATCAGCTCAAGTTGTTCCTATTGAACCTGTTTCTGTTAAGCAAGCTATGCAGGATCCAAACTGGTTGGCAGCCATGAAGGATGAGTTTGCAGCGTTAGCTCATAATGAGACTTGGGATCTTGTCCCCCCCGATCCATCTCACAATCTGGTGGGTTGCAAATGGGTCTTCCGCCTCAAGTATCATCCAGATGGGTCCATTGCTCGGTACAAAGCTAGACTGGTTGCCAAAGGCTTTCATCAGCGACCGGGGCTTGATTATACTGAGACTTTCAGTCCGATTGTTAAACCATCGACTGTTCGGCTGGTCTTAAGTCTAGATGTTACTCATGGGTGGGTAACTCGTCAGTTGGACATTAACAACGCATTTTTGAATGGAACTTTGAATGAAGATGTGTTCATGACTCAGCCTCCCGGTTTTATTGATCGTACACTACCTCAGCATGTGTGTCGGTTACGAAAGTCGTTGTATGGTCTAAAACAAGCCCCTCAGGCTTGGTACATTGAGCTGCGTAATTACCTTCTGTAGATTGGTTTTAAAAATTCGAAGGCAGATACTTCATTGTTTTACTATACTCATCACTCGGACTCTGTCTATGTCCTTGTGTATGTTGATGATATAATTGTAACCGGCAAACATGAAAAATCTGTTTGCTCCTTTATTTCTTGTCTGGCTCGCAGGTTTTCTTTAAAGGATCTTGGTTCTCTTTCCTTCTTTCTTGGTGTTGGAAGTGTCTCCTTGCTCTCACGGCCTCTTTCTCAACCAAAGGAAGTACATTTATGACATACTTTGTCGTGCGGGGATGGCGGATGCTAAACCTGTGGCCACACCTATGGCTATTTCTCCTCCACTACATCTTACAACCGGACACACTCTTTCGAACCCATCTGAGTTTCGGGCACTAGTTGGGAGCTTGCAGTATTTGTCGTTGACCAGACCAGATGTAGCATTCATTGTTAATAAACTTTCTCAATTTCTGGCAGCACCAACCGTAGACCATTGGGCGGCACTGAAACGTTTGCTTCGATATTTATGCGGAACTTTGGATCATGGTATTTTCCTTTCTGCTGATTCACCGGTGCAACTTCATGCTTACTCTGATGCTGATTGGGTTGGTGACAAGCATGATTACCGCTCTACAAGAGCTTATATTGTTTACTTAGGACGTAATCCTATCTCGTGGAGTTCTAAGAAACAGCGAACTGTTGCCCGTTCCTCTACGGAGGCCGAATATCGCACTGTTGCTGGTACTGCTGCGGAACTTGCTTGGATTTCATCTCTCCTGAGCGAGCTTGGTTTTTCTCTCCCGGAGAAACAGATTATTTATTGCGATAATATTGGCGCAACCAGTCTATGTGCAAACCCAGTTTTTCATTCTCGTATGAAGCATGTTGCTCTTGACTTTCACTTTATTCGTGAGCGTGTCCAGAGTGGTGCACTTCGTGTTTCTAATATTGCAAGTGATGATCAGCTGGCTGATGCTCTTACGAAGCCTCTACCACGGCGCCGCTTTCAGCTTCTGGTGTCCAAGATTGGCCTCGCCGGACGGCTGTCCATCTTGCGGGGGCATGATAAGAGATAATATAGTGATTGGTTGTGGTTAGTTTGTTAAGTTTGTTTCGTATTTATTGCTGTGGTTACCTTGAGTTTAGTAGTTTTAGTTTCACCTTTGTAGTATAAATATCTCTTCTGAATAATGTAAATTCATCACTTCTTTACCAATTTACAGCTTCCCATGGTATAAGGGTTCTCTCAAATGTCAACTCCTTGAGGTTTTGTGGGAAAAGAGGAGGCAAATGTAAAGGGTGGTAAGAGCCTCGAACTCTTAGCTTCTCAAGATGATTTAAACACCAGAGGTCATTTAAACCCTGTGATGACACTTGGCATCTTGCAAAAATTATTCCAAAATCTTTAACATTTGGAATTCTCATAAACACTTGTACTGTACACTGTGAGGTAGACAACCAATAAAGTGTCTGCAAATTTTCTTGAACCATTTTTGGAAGATAAGTAGGAACCTGATGGTTGATTTCAAGATGCCTTAGTTGTGGCAAGTCCCAAATTCCAGGAGGCAGCCTGCGGGCACCATTGTCATCTTCTGTGACAACTAGTGTCTGTAGATTCCAATTCTTCCACAAAGGTATACAGTTTAGAACCTTACTTGAGGCTATTTCTAGGTACCTTAGGAAAACAAGATCTGTAATATCTGGAGGCATACCTAACCTGAAGTTAATCTTGCTCAAGTCTAACACTCTTAACTTCTTAAAAGAGTTGGCATGCAAATACCATTCATAATCACAGTTTCCAACCATATTAAAACATAAAATGGTACGACATTTCCTAGAAGCAATGGCCAAATGAAAATGTGGGTTCACTACTTTAAGACTTAACCAAGGCTTATCACCTAATCGAACCAAGCAATCAAAACCATGACAACTACCCGTAGTTTCAAGGTACAAAAGGTTCACTTTCTTAGCCTTGCTCACACACAACTCACGTAAGAGATCATGCATCCTACAAGTCTTGATTTTATGATCGGAGCTTCTCCCATGAACCATAACTAGACATCTGTCAATAAGATCTTGCAAATAATTTCCACCTACTTCTTCTAGCCTCCTATTACTCATTATCTCTACAAATCCTTCAGCAATCCACAACCTAATAAGCTTTTTAATTGGAATATCACAATCTTCATGATAAATTCCCAAATACAAAAAGCAACACTTCAAGTGGCTAGGCATGTTGTTATAACTCAATTCAAGTATTCTTGAAAATTGTTGATCATGGTCTAAAGTCTGGAGTGAATTTATTGTAGCTTCAATTTTTTTCCATTCATCTAATGACTTAGTGATAGTAGATAGAAGCCCTGCTGCCACCACAATTGTAATCGGTAAACCATAACATTTTTGAACAATGTTTTTCCCAATTGTCTCAAATTCATTGTTCAGAAATTCCTTATCCAAAATTGGAATACTCGGCTATCTCTGATGGACGGAGCAGTGCATGTGAAAGAAGATGGATTGTATTATTATGTGAGTCAACTTACAGCAGAAAGGAAAGAAAGCATATTTATACATATGAGCAGAGGAAAGAAAGAAGAGCAGTAGACGGTTATAACAGATTGGGGAGGTGCAAAGTCTGTTATACCCTTCAAGATTTGTCATCCTCTATTACCCCCTCGTAAGTTGGATCATGCAAGTTTCGCATGCCTAGCTTAGACACGAAAACCTTGAAAGGAGCAGTAGGGAGAGGCTTGGTGAAACCGTCAGCGGTTTGATTCAAAGAGGAAACCGATAGCAGTTTGATCAGCCCATGTGACACCTTTTCCCGGACCAAGTGGCAATCTATTTCAATATGTTTGGTTCTTTCGTGAAACACATGATTCTCGGCTATCGCCACGGCGGATTTATTGTCGCAAAACATGGCAGCAGGCCTCTTTAAAGTAGCATGCAAATCTGCAAGAATGTATGTAATCCACTGTACTTCGCAAACAGTGGTGGCAAGAGCTCTATACTCCGCTTCGGATGAAGATCTTGACACGGTTGCCTGCTTCTTAGATTTCCATGAGATGAGAGCAGTCCCCAGAAAAATGCAATATCCAGTAATGGATTTCCTTGTATCCACACATGAAGCCCAATCAGAGTCAGAGAAGACATTTAGCTGCAATTCAACACCCTTAGGATAGAACAAGCCTTGGCCAAGAGAGCTCTTAATATATCTGAGGACTCTATGAGCTGCATTTAAGTGATTGGTAGTGGGAGCATCAATGAACTGACTTAATTGTTGAACTGTATAGGCTATGTCTGGTCTTGTAGCAGTTAGGTATAACAATCGGCCAACAAGTCTTCTGTACTTACTAGCATCTGTTAGAGGAGCACCATCATTGTGTTGCAGTTGGTGACCAGGTACCATAGGAGTATGAACGGGCTTGCATTCAAGAAAACCTTCCTCATCTAAGATATCTAGTGCATACTTTCTTTGACAAAGATACAAGCCTGAGCTGTTCATCACTGCTTCAATGCCTAGGAAGTACCCGAGATTTCCCAAATCTTTTATACTGAAGGTTGTATCCAGGAATGTTTTGACGTCTGTGATTCGGGAGATGTTAGGACTTGTGATTAATATATCATCCACATATACGAGAGCAGCTATGAAATTGTCATCTTCCCCTTTTGTGAACAGAGAAGGATCCGATTTTGATTGATCAAAACCAATTCTGAACAAGGCAGTACAGAGCTTCTCATTCCATTGACGACTAGCCTGTTTAAGGCCATAGAGGGAGCGAAGTAATCAGCAAACCTGGTTTGGCTTATCCGTGTTAAAACCAGGGGGCAAAGTCATGTACACCTCCTCTGTTAGATCACCATGAAGGAAGGCGTTATTCACGTCTAACTGATGAATATGCCAGGCTCGGGCAGCAGCAACTGCTAGGAACGTCCGAATTGTAGTGATCCTTGCGACTGGAGAGAAAGTTTCTAAGTAATCAATGCCCAATTGTTGAGTGTATCCCTTTGCAACAAGACGGGCTTTGTACCTTTCTATGGAGCCATTCGACTTCAACTTGAGTTTGTACACCCACTTACACCCTATGGGTGTTTTTCCCTCAGGCAACTCGGTTAATTCCCAGGTATGATTATCCTGTAAAGCTTGTATCTCTGCAGTCATTGCTTTCTTCCAATTGTCATCTGTTATGGCTTGTCTGTATGTCTTTGGTTCATTAACTGCTGTGACAGCCAAAGAGAAAACTTTGTGTGCCGGGGTTAAGGCATCAAAGGACATGACTCTCAACAAGTGATGAGGAGAAGTGCCTTTAGTGACCACTGCTTCACAGTAATAGTCTTGAAGTCGGTTTGGAGCATGCCGGGGCCTTTCAGATCTTCTCGGCTGCTCAACAATGGCATCATTTATCTCTAGTGGGATGCATATATCAAATTGTTGTGGCTGCTGCTGCATAGCCTCTTGCAAAGTTGATTGTCTGCTCATATTGTCATGGAAAACGCTATCTTCAGATACGTCAGCTTCATGGTGTTCGTGACGCACCGGACTGGGTAAAGGAGTCCCAGCATTAGCCTCATGGAGCTCAAGATGCATCGAAGTAGAGATTGGAACCAAGGGGAGACAAGGTTCAGTAGATTGCAACGGAGGCTTGTCCGTGATGCATCCTTCTTCAGAGAAAGGAAAATAAGTCTCATAAAAACTTACATCCCTTGATACAAATATGCTTTTATCATGCAAGTCATATAGCATGTAGCCCTTGATGTGAGCAGGAATGCCTATGAAAATACACTTCCTACTACGCTGAGCCATTTTATGTCTCGAAGGTGACAGGTTCGACGCATAACATAAGCATCTCAATACTTTCAAACTGCTCAAATTCGGTTCTTTCCCGTATAGCCTGCTGTAAGGAGTTGCCATTTTTAACACTGGGGAAGGCAGCCTATTGATAAGAAATGAGGCATGTAAGACACATTGTCCCCAAAATTCAAGAGGTAGAGAAGCTTGATACTTGAGAGCCCTTGCAACATTGAGTATGTGTTGGTGTTTTCTTTCAACAATCGCGTTTTGCTATGGAGTATACACACAGGATTTTTGATGATTAATTCCCTTGTCTGCGAGAAAATCTGCCATGTTAAATTTGATCCCATTATCAGTCCGGATTGTCTTGATTAGAACTCCAAACTGTGTGAATGCCATGGCATGGAACCGTTTCAGATGTTCCCTGACTTCAGACTTGTTTTTCATCAAGTGCAACCAAGTGAACCGAGAGTAGTCATCCACTAGAGTCAAGAAGTAACGCTCCCCTCTTAACGCAGCAACATGGAATGGCCCCCAAATATCTGCATGAATCAGATCAAAACATGCATTTGAAAAGGTAGTACTAAGGGGAAAGGGAGACCGTTTGTGTTTGGCAAAGTGGCAAACATCACAAGGAGAATTTTTAGGAACATAGCCTTTTATTTCATTCAAAACACTGAGTTTATTCATAGGGAAATGCCCTAATCTTTGGTGCCAAATCTCAATGCTATTACATTGTGCAATAGCACTTTTACGATCTATATTCTGTGTACTCGGAGGCTTCATCAGCAGGTACAAGCCATTTGTTTGTCTAGCCAAACCAACTATCTTCCCAAGGGGATCCTGAATCATGCATTGTTCAAGTGTAAAAGTCAGTTTATAACATGAACTTTGTAAGAGCTTGCTAGCAGATATTAAGTTGAATTTGAAAGATGGAATATAGAGAGCATCTTTCAACCACAAATCTCTGTTGAGTCTAACATTTCCTGTGTGAGTAACTGCAATGGTCTTTCCAGTAGGGAGGCTCACTTCAATGCCACAAGCAACATGATAATTATCAAAGAGATTTAAATCACAGATTATATGATCAGAGGCCCCGGAATCAATAATCCAAGTAGAAGAGGATAACAGAATGGAGTTGATATGATTAACAGAAGACTTGCCTTCATTTGAATTTTCTCCCTATTTGAAATTTGGGACCAGAGTGACAACAGTAGAAGTTTTAGTATTTGAGGACTGCCCTATCTGAGTTTGAAGCAGAGAAATTAATTTCTCCATTTGATCTGCAGTGGCCACAACAGGAGGAGAATCCAGACTTCCAGATTGTAAGTTCACAGCTGCTGCTTGTTTTCCCTTGGACTTATATCCCGGGATCCACCCCGGAGGATAACCGTGTTTCTTGAAACACTTATCAACCGTGTGCCCATCATTCCACAGTATGTACATTTTGCTCCCTTGTTTGAATTTCCATTTCGTCTCCCATTATATTGATTACTAATATGAGTTCATAGCTGCAACAACTTCATTCATGTTTCCTTGTTCAGACTGTACTGCATGAGCTTGACTAAACTCAAAATTGCCTAAGTTCAAATTTGCCAACGCAATTTGTCTTTCTAGCTTTTCAGCCATAACAAACACCTTGTAAACCTCAGGAAGTGGATCAAGAACAAGAACGTTAGACTTCAAACTGCTATAATCATCATTAAGGCCTTGAAGGAAGCGTATAACCTGATCTACATCTCGTTCTTGCTTGATTTGACTGATTAATCCACAGGAACACTTCGGATTGACTAATCCACAGGAACACTTCGAATCGCACTTGCAGATGGGAAGCGGTCTCAACGCATTCATCTCTTCCCATAGGATTCTGCATCTCGTGTAATAATCGTTCACAGTAAGAGTTCCTTGCTTCAGATTGTAGATCTCGCTCTGCAACGCCGAGATCTTATGCGCATCACATTGTGAGAACCTGCGCTTCAAATCTTCCCATACCTCTCTGGCATTATCCACGCATTATGCTTTGAGCGATGGAGGCATGCGCCGACTTGAATATCCAAGCACAGATGATGAGATTGCATCGTCTCCACGCTGTGTATTTGCTGTCTTCCCTGCTAGGTGCTGAGATACTTCCATCAATGATGCACCACTTATTTTTGACTTCCAATGCAATTCGCATTGAAATACTCCAGGATCCATAGTTGGCGCTGCCTTGCAGCGGTGGATTAACGAGAATGGCGCAGGGGCTATCATTCGCGTTGAGAAGCAGCGGATCATCTAGATCTTCCATGGTGAGACTCCTCAGCTGTATGATCGAAGCTCTCTGTTGTGGAGGAGTTCTCTGTAGCGAATGAGTTCTCTGACTCGGAGGTGTTCCTGTCTGTGGAACGGTCGGATCGTGATCTTGCACCGGCGATTGAGTGATCGGCGGAGCTGCACGCTGATCTTG